ATTCTTCATTATTGTCTTGATGCATTTCGGTGCTGGTGCTTTATGTTTTTGTCTTATGACCCAAGTGCGGTTATGATGCGCTTGTAACAGCTGCTGGTGTAGATTGGAAGTCTGTGGAAAGGTGTTATTGCTTTATTGTGTACTCGCTATAGTTGTAGGTAATGGTGTTGAAGATTGTCGGATGCATGACAAGTAGTTTCCAGCTCTGCTTGAATTTTTCCACTAAGCATATTACTTTAGAATGTTACTCAAAGGAAACTTAACTCTTGCCCCTTTTGCTCAAGGTGCAGAAATGACCATTAAAAATCATTCATTGGACCAGTGTGAGTTCCCTATTGCTTAGTGACTTTGCTTCATGTCACAGCAGAGATGCACTTAGGTCATTCAAGTGGAATCCTCAAATTAAAGGCCTTTCTGTGTGGAGTCTGCAGGTTCTCCCCGTGTCTGCGTGGGTTCCCTCACAGTCCAAGGACATGCTCTGGGGATTAGGTTGTAGGTGTGTGGATGTGAGTGTGAATGTCCTGCATGACGGATAAGTGGTTTGAAGATGGATTGGTGGGGTTGTTCCTCCTCCTTCTTGGGTTTTGTTGGTCCTTTGGCAAGGCACACAGTCAGGTTGTGGAAATGATAAAAGAAAAGAAATCTCTAAAATTCAATGGAAACAACAATAGTTATGTAATAAATGAGCAAAAACATGTGACTTCAACATCTATTAATATGAAAGCTTTGCTGAAAAAAGTAAAAACAGTGGTAGACTACAACATTCTCCTCAACCTCTCTTCACACAGAGGCCATACTACCTTTCTCACATAAATACACAGGACAAAGTAATTTCTCAATGTCACATTGTTTTTCAACATTTGAGATTTATTTATTATTATAACTTGCCTCTTGAATTAGGGTCGGCATTGACCGGCATTGATTGTGTGTTTATGCATGAAGGATTTTTGACTTTGTCAGGAATATTTATTTCAATAAAATAAAACAAAAACATTTTCACTAAATGATAAAATGCTCTGGTTGGAATTTTGACTTTTGTGTTGTTAGGGTCGCTGAATAAAACTGAAATCCTGAGTGTACTGTGAGCCAACACACTCACAGCCAGCTCCTCTCCCAGTCTTGTGAGATTTAGGGGGATTCTCATTTGTTATCCAGTACACCTGCACACAAACAAAACAAACAAGGACGACCATGTGAGGTCAATCCAGTACACAGTTGGTGACTTGCAGGCTTAATAACTGACAAAGAAAAGGCCCAGAGGCCCACACCAAAATGTTAAAACCAATATTTTCATGGAAGCCTAACAAGGTAAACAAGAGATGAGAAACAAATTGCATTTTTTTTTTCCAATTCTCAAAATGCATTGGTTGGAAAAAGTCTTAAGCTTCCGCTGTTCACCAGCTACACATAATTGATTATATTGTCTATGTTTGTGAAGCGGTATGTCATTTCCCCGGATCACACTGCTTAAGTGTATTTTTCAGTTGCTGTGTAAATGCTTCCGAGTGTCTGATGTGAAGGTGAAGTTAACCTCAACTTGAACAAGCTGCATGCGGATGAAATGCATTCAAAATCACAGTGAACTGAAGCCATGTCCACAGTCTGCTTCTTGTTAGTCTCTTCACACATACTGGCTACCTCAGGGGAAATGTTAACATTCTTTAAAGTGTCTCACTTCTCGTTAGCAGATGCGACAGGAGTTGGGAGTGGGAACTTGTCCAAATGTACGTCAAAGCTTAAGGTGACAACAACAGTGTTTGGACTGCTGCTCATGCCTCCAACTTTGTGAATTCCTGCCAGTCCGGAGGCATTAGAAGACAACGCTGAGTTTAGATGTTGTTTACCAAGACTGATTTTTCACCACATGACGCATCCTTACTCCCCAGACTGCTCATTAGATGACCTCCGTGTCAGTAAATGCAGAAGAACAAGCCACACACACACACAAACACACATGTTTATCGCTCAGTAATGCATAATTAACCTTTACACATCAGCTCGAGCCTCAAACTCTTATTAATTCACACACCTGCAATCATTTCAACATGTGTTTGGATTTGGCAATGTGTATATGCCTCTGTTTAAATTGTTATTTCATTATGTTCTGATCTCTCTCTCTCATATGTACAACATATACATATATATAGATAGTTGTACATAAGTTGTTGTAAAGGAATGAAATTAGGCTTATAGAAATCTTACCATGTAATTCATGTATTTTATTTACTGTCTATTCATTTTACTGTTTTTTAACAGCAGAACTTGCAGGTCCCAAAGTTAATCATCATAAAGAATATAGAATTAAGTCTATTGTAATCCTCCAGTAGAAGGTCTGTTTGATTTTAATTACTACAACCTAATAGTCTGAACCAGCTCTATTAAAACTTGCTCCATTAAGACTCCATTAAACTGTTGTTAAAAGGCATTGCATCACTCCTGGAGTTTTTTCCCCCAATCTACTTTGTGAATTAGATTTAAATTCCTTTTATCATTTCACCCCAAAACTAGAGGTCACACTTGTCTAATCAACATGCAAACACTTATGTAAGCCTGCTTCCTTTTCCGTGTCAAAGTTTCCTCATCAAACAAATTGCTCTGAGCTCATTGGTAAGCAGCGCTTACAGTGACGTATTGAAAAAAAGTTTCATTCCCCACTTTAAACTATGACAGGATACTTTCTCTATCCGCCACAGAGGAAACACATTGATGCAGCCTGAACACAGCATGTCACCTAAAGCAACAGACTGCTCCAAAATGTCCAGATAAACTACGGATTAGTGTGAAAATACGGAAAAGGATCCTGTGTTAAGAAACAGCATTCAGCCCACCTTCTCAATGCAAAGGTTGAGTGGATCTTTGGTTAGCTGTGGAGAAGGGTTCCCTTGGTTATGAAGGTCCCGAGTCGCTCATAGACGGAAAAGCGCGGTCACCTCTTCAGTTTGCTATTCCCACTCCAACTTAAGGTGTTTGTCAGTGCAACTAAGCACTAGTTGAGAGAACAATCACTGCTCCGGCGCACCCCCAGCATAGTGCTTACATGCAAGTAGGAATGTTTAACTGCCATTTCAATTCCAGTCGCTGCTCCACTCTGCAGATTCAACAACACTAAGAGTCTGCATCCATAACAGCTGCTCTGTGTGTCCCCAGAAAAGCCCATTTCATGCTTTATTAAGACTTTTAACCAAAAGTCTAGGGTTTACAAGGTGGAATTAGAGTCAATGTCCAGCCTGATCTCCAAAACCTGTTCGTAAAAATGTATACGAAAATCTTGAGCATACAAATTCGTAGTGATACATACTAAATAAATACGGACTGCAACTGATGACGTCACCCTATTCAAAGTGAATGGGGACCTGCACCGTGTAAACGTGTTACGATTGCATTTTTAACGAGAAATCAATGTTAAATTGTAAGTATACAATACTAACCCTAACCCCCTCAAAAAATACAACATGGCGGAGAGACGTTCACTGAAGAATCCAACATGGTCCGCCATGTTGTTCACTCAAGGGCCGTGGTTAACCACCGCCAGTTCCTATGTATTGTTACGAATTTGTACGTTCAAGATTTTCGTATACATTTTTACAAACAGGTTTTGGAGATCACTTTGCAATGTCAGGGAAAAGTCTGTAGCATTTCTCCTCTGGGGGATTGTTTTGTCATTTGCTGAACTGTTTTCATTTAAGTTCTTATTAACCTTCTTCATACAACACCCACTCCTGCATTCCATTGAAAAATAATTTTGCGTCAAAACTGGGAAAAATTCTGTTTTTATTTTCAAAATAGGTGCCTGTTGTTTCCCAACGCCAACCGCCCTAACATGTTATCAAAGAGTATCCAAGTTTACAACCACATTGATGACATTTACCAATAAGGGTGTGTTATGTTTTCACTGTATCTATAGTGGTACTTATAGGTCGACATGCTGACGGGGAACTGCCTGAGGAGACCTTGGCTTTGTAGTGTAACTGAATTTAAGGCGCTACAGGCCAGAAAGCAACAAAATGCATTGCCGCTGTGATGAGAGATTTGTTGAGAGATGCTTCTTCACCACACAGTAGGAAAACCCCTCTGAGCAAAATGTCACACAGCTGATGACCAGATGATCAGGACTTCGTAAATGCCAGCAGCTCTGCATCTCGTGGCATTGTTCCACAGGCAAGCATCTTCACACCAGCCCGTCTCATCTCCCCACCGCTGCTCCACTGATGAATAGTTTCATGAATATCTCAGGCACGACATATTCATGAAACTATACATTTATGAGGGTGGCCACAGATGTGTGCAGAACCCACCTGTCGGCATTGTAAATAAGAACCTCTCAGCTCCAACTCTGAATGGGCGTCATAAAGAACCGAGCTCCCTCAAATGCTTCCCTCTCCTTTTTAAATAGATACCAGGTTTTTGTTGTTTGCTGCACCTGTTTCCCATCTGCTTCCCCCCCGATGACCTAAAAGAGAAACAAGCGGGAAAACACCTCTTGGATTGTCTGCAAATCGTGGAGAATGTTCACATCCACAAATCACCTGCTCCGAATCGCTGCCTGTTGTAACATGAATAATTTCATGTGTGTTTTTGAGTATAGGAAGGACAGAAGCAGATCATTTGTGCGATTACAAAATATTCACACATGGATTCAAATTAAAAAATATATTCTGGTTTGATGATCATTTAAACTATCAATTCTTTAACCCTTCATGCAGTTGTTGGTTTTTAAAAGTAAAAGCTATGATGACACACACAAACACACCACTACGACATCTGAAGGTGAATAAGAAGGTCATCGAAATGTCACCGTCATGGGATCAGATGGATAAGTGGAGATAGTTCAATGAAGCTGGTGAAATATATGAAAAGATACCACGGAGGGGTAGACGGACGGGAAAAAAACACACCAAGTGATGTCACTTCCACCCTCGGTGCGCCTCCCCTGCAGTCGGCTGGAATTAAAACATTTGAATACGTCCCCCCCCTCCTCGCTCCAAACTTTTTTCCCCCCTCACAGATAGCGCGCCGTGGAGCCGTGGGTGTGATGCCAGTGAACGCGTGGACCCTGCGCCGCCGCCGGAGCGCTCTGTCGGGGGTCGGACTGCAGTAGAGGCGCCGTGCGGGGAACCAGAGGGAAGAAGCTGCATGCGTTAAAAGGGGGGGCGGGAAGCACCTTGGAGACGAGTGGCTGCCGGGAGCGCGTAAAGATGCGGCTCCTGTTGAGCGTGCTGTCCCCGGTCCTCTCGCTCACCATCTTCGGATTATGTCCCACTCTGGTGAGTTTTTAGTAGTCTTTGCTGCTCATTGTCGGCTGTCCGTCGTATCTATTTAGTCCGAGACGCGTCAGATTATTCTAGGGAGGCTGTGCGGCCAAACTTCACCCAAAAGTCGCACAATTTCAGATTGCTTCTTTTAGCAGCAGCGGTATCAACGAGGCGCATCACTATTCCACAGCATGCATCACGCTTCGGTGTAAGGTGTACTTCCCCTGGCGTCCCACTTATTTTCATGATTGTAATTATTTTGAAATATAATGAATAGGGTAGAAATCCGTAGGCTGTGCCTGCCGCGGTCCTCCACAAAAGGTGGAATGTAACAATACGAAAAAATCCTCAAACGAAAATGCAGTGCTGCTTGTACATTGTGTGTATGACGAATTGATTCTATCGGTCATCCTAAAATTTAAATAAATTACATTCGAAAAAGGTTTTTTCCGATTAACAAGAATATATATATATATATATATATATATATATTTTTTTTTTTAACAATGAAACACGCACACAAAGTGCACAACATAGAATCAGCGTCTTGTTTTTCCTTATAACCATCGTGATAATTTTCTAAACCTATTTAATGGATCACGTTCAGCCTACTATGCACCTATTTTGTCCACTTGTGGAACATCATAAGACAAATTTCTTATTTGACAATCATTTCAGAATTGTTTTAAGACATCAGACTCAGTCTTTGTGGAAAACCCATTTTTCCCCCATCAAGGACAGTCTCTCCTCTGTCTTAATATAATATAATATTCCCCTTACTGTCAGAATGTGGTTAATCTTTGTGAAAATTGCAATATTGGGTGGTGACTTGTATTTTTGTCCCAAGAGAAAGCTGGAAGAACTGTGATTTTAGGACAACTCCTCCGAGTGTCCCTAGTGATTAATGGAGGAATCGATACGTCGCTCTGTTCCTTCTGCTGGTGAGGGTGTGGAGTCGTCCACTTGCTGCTGATGAAACCTCGGCGCTCCGTGGCTAAGCAGCAGCACACGGGATGAGAGACAACGTTATACATTATTCACATGCAGTTGTTGGAGCCTTTTTAATCAGACAAACTAGCGCTAACAAGAGTACATCAATGCACGGTACTGCTCTGTGATGACCCAAACCCATTTGGCAATCGGTTGTTTTACCAAACGTCTCCTAATCAGAACCTGCAATGTGAGGTCAGTTGCTTATGATGTCCAATTCTTTTCTTTTTTTTGGACTGGTGGTCCAACAGAATAAGCAATTTGACACTGTCAGTTTGTTTAACCTTACAAAGTGTTACAAAATAACCAATTCTAGTAAAAGTGTAACGGATACATTAACCCGAAATGAGAGTAATCTTTTCTGCCATGTGCATCCCTGCTTTTTGTTATTGTGTCACCCATAAGTGCTCTGGATATCGACGGTCGTCCTCTTTACATTTTTAGAATTACATTTCTGACGAAGGTTTCCATCATCTGTTTTGATTGAATCAATGAATACGCCGCTGCCGATGAGGAATACGTGACACTGCTAACGCAAGCCCTGCATTTAAATTGCTTTGCGAGTTCCTCTCCACTTCAGTGTTTAGAAAAAATGTCCTTTCATAGTAACACGCTAAGCTTGAAATGATTAAGCTGTCACTCAGGCTGTCGGACGTTGTACGTGAGGTTTTGTTTATTATAGGAAGAGGTGCCAGCTTCCGCCTCTTGGTATAGAAGTAAATATCTCTTTTTTTTTCGTTTATATCGGTTGAGTTTAGCAGCTTTTCTAATCACATATCTATTCTGGATGAACTTTCTGAAGTTGAGGCTTCTACTGGCAGACATTACCACTGAACACAGCAGATCCCAAAGGAGCCTTTTTGAGAAACAGAAATATTTGCATAGCTTTAGGTTTCCCTTATGGACTGTGCCAGCAGGCTGATTACACAGTGACTGCTAACGGCATTGTGTTACTCTCATAACCATCCAAATGATGACTGGAATTTGTGTTTTACGATTATACATTATATCCTGCACCTGGAGGACAAATCGATATGGAGAAGAGTGAGACTTAATAGACTCCAGGAGTCTGACGTCACACCTCTGGCACAACTCAACTGGCCACTTAAAATTCACTAGACCTATCATTCCTTAATCGCCACAGCTAACGGTTAAAAAAAAAAAAAAATCAATTGATTGATTGATTTCAGGTTGAATCAGGTCGATTTATGTTTTTTCAACATCATCCTTCAATATAACTTCATGACCTCTTAATGCCAGCCTGCACTTCCAATGTCACATATAGACAGTATACTCATCCTAGCTGTCAAACTCTGTTACACCAGCAGTGATAACTTGACATTTGTGTATTCGTCGAGAGGAAGTGAAGCAGAACACTGTAGTAGTTCAGCATACTAAACCTACCAATGCAGTTGCAGGACGAGTGCCTTTGTGCTCACAGTAATGGGGCAATGTTGTTCCTTGGAGTGTGAAGTAACAGCTGGTCAGTAACAGAAAACAGCTTCTCGACTTACTGAATTCTACTCAATGTGTTTGGTGGATTAAGAAAGAATGATGTGCTTGGGCGCATTGAAAGAAACTGGACCAACAGTGAATCCTGTGGAGAGGTTCCTCTTGGGGATTACGTTCCAGTAGGACACAGCTTTGTGTAGGCACTTGCCCTCTGTGTTAGCCACTTTGAGTAGGTGACAGGCAAGAGCGCACACACACACACAAACACACACGCACTGACAAACAAAGTCTGATGCACTTGTAATTAAATGTTTAGTCATTTTACCACTTTCATTTTTTTAGAGTTTGTGACCAAAATACCACCTAAAATATGTTTACAGGATTAAATGTTCAGAAGAAGTGTATTCAGTCCGCTCATCAACATGACGTCCTGTTAATCATTATACATATAAAAGATAAAAAAGGCTTTCCTCGAGCGGTTGCGTGTTGTCAAGCGAAAGCGTGTCGTCTGCGCTGAGAGCTGAAACTGTTATTTGAGACTCTTTTCCAGCTCGCATTAGCATATTTGTGCATGATGCGCACAGACTGTAGGAGAATTTGTCTGCCACGGATGCCATATTGTAAGAGGAAGGATGCTGCAGGCACACACCTACACATGCACACAACAATTTCCCATTTCTCATCCCCGTTTCCACGGCGGGTCAAATTAAAGAGGACACCTTCTAAATATACGTGTCAACACAAACAAAGCAAACACACCCAGCCACAAGACTGCCGGCAAAGTCATTAGTCGTGACACTGCATGTTTCATGTTTGAAGCAGGGAGGGGGGGGGGAAGTCAGAGCTGATGGACTGGAAATAAAGAAAGTCTGCTGATGATGGATGTGGATTGTTCATACCAGCAGCAGGGTGAATAGATGGCGCGTTCTGCTTGGTCTAAGACAGATGCTAGACGGGTTCAGTCTGTGGGGCTGTAATGAGTTGGCTGTCACCTTCCTTTAATACGTGCTTCAGGATGTGTCAGTTGTTAGGCATGTGGGGCAGGAACATTTTATGAATGGTCCAATTGAGCTTATGTTTGTCAAGCAAGGGAATTAATCCTGTTGATTAGTAATAAGACGTCCAAGGACTGACAGTGACAGATAAGCAAGAGGTACTGATCAGTTCTCGGGTTCCTGCATGCGCTGTTTGTTCTTATTCTGGTTTCTCATCCATGTATTTCTATCTAAAAGGAGATACAGGCACGGACTGATGCGTATACTAATGCGTGTCATTATGACGTGCTTGAAATTGCTGTCTTTTTATATATGATGATTATGAGTCTTTAAAGTGACTTTCCTCTGTGTTGAGCTGTTTCACTCCTCTGGGTGAACGCATCTCAGTTAATAATAGTCTAAGCCATAATTGCAGGAGTTGAGACATGATGTTGAAACTACCAGGGGCATAGTTACGACCCTCTCCCTCTGTTGCCCTCATGATTACAGTCATTACAGCCCAAGCGGAGCCCATATCATGTGCATATCGCTGGATGAGAGCTGAAAGGCTGGACCTGAAAGGAGTGGAAGACATTTGTGGTCTCAATAAATGTATACTGGACTTCTTCAACCGGCCAGATGATTATGGGCTCGCTTGTTAATTTCTTACTAGCGAGGATAAAATGTAATATAACTTATTAAGTAGCTTTAAACAGAGAGGCAGCTCTCGTATGATGATGAATTACAGAGTTTAGTTTGAGTGTAATGTAGGTTAGCTAAAAACCTAAAGTGTGTCACAAGAATACAGGCAATGCATTTTTTATTTTGACATCTCTGTAGAAGATATGGAAAAAGAAAACATTTCTTTTCCATTGCATTGAACGGAGAGTAAAGCCTCTGCTGACACCTTGGCTGACATCTGGTGCTCATTAGAAACAAGCTCATCAATACTCTTTTATGTATGGCAGCCGGTGTTATCCATCCTTTACATCTTTTATCTTTTAAAAAGGCTAGAAAACACTGTTACACACTTTAAGAAGTCACGTGTAATGTTTTTGCTACGGCCCAATTCACAAAAGGTTCCCGTCTGGAGATTTCTAAAACTTGCATTTCACTCTTAGCAGGACAATCACTGTCCCAGAGGTACGAACGGTGAATTGTATAATTCCGGAGCACCTGCTGTACAATGGAAGCCTTCAATGTTAAATGGTTGATTTGTTAATTCGGTTTTGGTGTCTGTTCTGAAAAAAATCAAAGAAGTGCTTTTTGTCTCAGAATTTTGCACGCAAATTCACCACTAACTCAGTGCAGCAGTCGCCTCAAGCGACATGAAAGTGTTGTTAAACTAGTTAACCAGGGAGCTGCACCACGTCCATATGACGTGTTTGCATTTGAAGCAGCAAGGCGCTAAAAGGCATTTAAAGTAAGGTCACATGTTATAGTGAAGTAATATGATTGGACCCAAGTTTAAGTAATTACGTCAAAGAAATTGCTAAATAACTTCAAAAAGGAAATCCTGGAATGCAGGACACGTGGTAATGGAATGGTATCCAAGAGTTTAAAGCGTTCCCCTGACGTTATTAGCCTTGTGGAGCC